AAGATCACTGCAGACGGTGACTGCAGCCATGAAATTAAAAGATGCCTTGCTCCTTGGTAGGAAAGCGATGGCAAACCTAGACAGCATAATAAAAAGTAGAGACATTACCCTGCCAACAAAAGTCTGTATGGTCAAAGCAATGGTATTCCCAGTAGTACTGTATGGCTGCAAGAGTTGGACTATGAGGAAGGCCGAGCACCGAAGAATAGATTCTTTTGAATTATGGTGCTGGAGAAGACTCTTGAGAGTCCCCTGGACTGCAAAGAGATCAAATCAGTCAATCCTAAAAGAAATCAACCCTGACTGTTCCCTGGAAGGCCAGATACTGAGGCTGAAGCTCAAATACTTTGGCCACCAAATGAGAAGGGAGCACTCACTGGAGAAGACCCTGATGCTGGGAAAGACTGAAGGTCAAAGAGGAAGGGACCAGTCACACCTTTAAGATCAACAAAGTTTTATTCCAGGCATAAGCTTTCGTGTGCATGCATGCTTCTTCAGATGCACTGAAATGGAAGTTACCATTTAAATGTATCTGAAGAAGTGTGCATGAACACAAAAGCTTATACCTTGAATAAAATGTGTTGGTCTTAAAGGTGCCACTGGACTCGAACTTTGTTCTACTGCTTCAGACCAATATGGCTACTCACCTGAATCCAGAATAACCAAGTTTACCTGGCAGTTATTTCTTGTCAAATGGAACAGAGAATTTGTTCACTGGGGCACAACAGGTGATGCATAAGACCTGATCAGCTACATAAGGTGTCTCATTAGAAGCTCTGTGTTTGTTGCCTTCTCAGAATTACAGCAGCAGAGGAGACTGCCCACCCTCTAGTGACCATAGGTCATAGAAGCAGTGACAGACTTCTCGTTCCTGGGATCCAAGATCACTGCAGACGGTGACTGCAGCCATGAAATTAAAAGATGCCTTGCTCCTTGGTAGGAAAGCGATGGCAAACCTAGACAGCATAATAAAAAGTAGAGACATTACCCTGCCAACAAAAGTCTGTATGGTCAAAGCAATGGTATTCCCAGTAGTACTGTATGGCTGCAAGAGTTGGACTATGAGGAAGGCCGAGCACCGAAGAATAGATTCTTTTGAATTATGGTGCTGGAGAAGACTCTTGAGAGTCCCCTGGACTGCAAAGAGATCAAATCAGTCAATCCTAAAAGAAATCAACCCTGACTGTTCCCTGGAAGGCCAGATACTGAGGCTGAAGCTCAAATACTTTGGCCACCAAATGAGAAGGGAGCACTCACTGGAGAAGACCCTGATGCTGGGAAAGACTGAAGGTCAAAGAGGAAGGGGACGGCAAAGGATGAGATGGTTAGACAGTGTTATTGAGGCAACGATCATGAAATTAAGCTAACTACGGAGGACAACAGAGGACAGGAGGGCCTGGCGTGATCAGTCTCGACTGTGCGACTGAACAACAACAACAAAAAGTTGTCTTTGGCTTGGAGCTACATAAACCTGTTGGGTCCAAACTTCCTGAATCCCGACCTCCACCCACTCAAACCTACTCATGTTTAGGGTTGCCAGGTCCCCCCTTGCCACCGATGGGGGATAAGGGATAGGGTTGCCAAACCAGGTTGAGAAACACCTCGAGATTTGGGGATGGAGCCTGGGGAGGCCAGGAGCACAATGCCATAGAGTCCACCCACCAAAGCACCTATTTTCTCCAGGGGAACTGATCTCTGTAGTCTGGAGATCAGCTTTAATTCCGGGGGATCCCCAGGTCCCACCTGGAGGCTGGCATCCCTACATCGTGTTTTAAGATCAGCCAATGCTACTTTCTTGTGGGAATCCTCACTGGCTGAGGCAAGGTAGGTGATGGCCAATGCTCCCTCTAAGCTGTGGCGTCTTGTGAGCAAAAATTCTACTTTGTGAGCAACTGGCATTAAAGCTGTGAGCGAGCGAGTTGGCGACTGCATAAATTAGTTTGCTCTGGAGCCCTCCTTCCTGAGCTGAGACAAAAATGTGTGAGCCGGAGGCTAAAAAACTGTGAGCTAGCTCACACTAACTCAGCTTAGAGGGAACACTGGTGCTGGCCCCCACAAGACATTTAAATCCCTTGTGGGCCTGGAACCTTCTTTCCAAGTTTTCTAGAATAATCTGAAGACATATTTTGTTTGGAAGTCCTTTGAAAGTAGACGGTGTTCTAAGATTGATGGTTTTGGCTCACCGATGACTGATTTTATCCTTATTATTGGATGTTTTTATTGCTGTTTGCCACCTTGGGTGTTCCTCCGGTGATAGAAAGGTTGGCCATAAATTCACAAAATCATCTGCACGGGCCTACCTCTGCCCTAATAGTCTAGAGATAGCACCAGATAAGGAGACTTTTTTTGCCACCGCAAATGTCTTAGTGCTTCCGTGATGGGTGAGTGTGTGGGGTGGGGGTTACCTCCCACTTCACGCTTTGGTCTCAGACATTTGGAGGGTTTCTTCTTTGTCACAGGCCTGTCCTCGGCAGCCCAAGTTTAAGACAGTTCAGAACTTACGGTCATTTACAGCTTACATCTCAGTAAATCCAGAAGGTGTCTGATAGAAAGAGGGAAAGATGAAGGGGGGGGGGGGAAGAGACGCCAAGCATCTTAATCCCCCTGTTCATTCATGCTCTCTGTAATGTTCTTTCAGGCCTCTGCTGAGAATCAAGGCTTGAAATGAAGGCTGATAAATTAGTCTGGAGGGAAACAAGGCAGATTCAGCTTGTAAAAGGTCATTCCAACTTTGTTCTGGGTGAGGGTTTATCTTTACAGCAGCTGCGACAGACAATGGCCCGGGCCTAAGTGGCAGAAATCTTAAGCTCTGCTTGCGAAATTACTGTGCTGATAAGGCAGAATGGACTTTAGTAAGATCTAAATGGGAAAAAGGGGAGGTGGGTGTGAGACGGAAAATGTAGGTATTTTTCTAACATGATTGAACAGGGAAGACACAATAAGATGTGCAATTAAACCAAAGATTTCTTTACCCGGGCATTATCTCAAAGAGGGAAGAAACATACTGCCGGCTAATCAGATAAAGAAAAAGGAAAGCTAACCTCTTCTCTTCACAGATCCAGCAGCCTTTTCTGCAAATCCACAGGCAAGCTTAGGGCAAGGCGGGGTGTAAGAACCAGAAGAAGCAATATACTAGTGTTGTGCCCTCCCTCCCGAACATTCACAAACGCAGTTGTCATTTGTCATAATGTGCTTTTATTTTGGGGATCTGGAGTCTATTTTCAAACGGGGCTCCAGTTCCTTAGGGTTGCCAGGTCTGAGTTGGGAAATGTCTGGAGAATTTGGGGGTGGAGTCTGGGAAAGGCGGGAATTGGGGAGGGGAGGGACCTTCTCAGGGTATAATGTCACTGCGTGCAAGTTCCAAAGTGGCCATTTTCTCCAAGGCAGATGATCTCTGTCACCTGGAGGTCAGTTGTAATCCCAGGAGATCTCCAGCCATCACGTGGAGATTGACAACTGTACTTTAGTTTTTTTTAGAAACGAGAAATTCCAAGTGGGACTTTTGGAATGTTCAGTGGGCACCACCACAAAATGGCTGCCATGGCCACATCAGCCAATCATCAAACTTTTGGGAGGTTGTAAGCTAGGGTTGCCAGGTCTGGGTTGGAAAATACTGGAGACTTTGGGGGGTAGATATGGGAGAGGGTGGGATTTGGGGGGGCCTCAGCATGGTACAATGCCACAGAGTCCACCCTTCAAAGCAGCCATTTTCTACAGGGGAACTGATCTCTGTCAGCTGGAGATCAGTTGTAAAAGTGGGAGATCCCCAGGCCCCACCTGGAGTCTGGCAACCCTACTGTAAGCCAAGCATCCTCCTACAATGGAGGAAGCTATTTTTAATGGATCCTCCCTGCAGGCACAAAGGTGATATCTCTTGGGTTCTTCTTAAGTCCCTCCTGATGAAATAGAGAAAAGCCAAGTCTGGCTTTTCTCTTTCTCAGAGATGCTTTGACAAGGAAGCAAATGGGTGAGTTGGAAACCCATTGGTAGGTCCCAGAGTGCCCATAGGTTCCATGTTGGGAATCACTGATCTAAGTCATTTTGAAGGAACCCCCAAACAAGACAGTTTGATATGAACACCTGAACACAGGAAGCTGCCTAATACTGAATCAGACCCTTGGTCCATCAAGGTCAGCATTGTCTACTCAGACTGACAGCAGATCTCCAGCGTCTCAGGTAGAGGTCATTCACATCACCTACTGCCTGGTCCTTTAAACCGAAGGTGCCAGGGATTGAACCCGGGACCTTCTGCATACAAAACAGATACTCTGTCACTAAGCCACAGCCCCTCCCCATAGGTCTTTCCACTCAGGTGGATTCTATACATACATTCCTTTCTATGAGGTGTGGGTGTTAATCACATCTAACCAGCTCTGATTCTTGAAATCATCCTCATCTGAATTTCCCCCCATATCTGGGAATTCCAAATCACCAGGTCTTCTTTCCCAAAAGGGATGGATGCATTAGGAATCCTCCACTGATCTGTATTTTTATTTTCCAGTTTTGTACAGAGCACCACGTATGAGCTATCTGATTGCCGTTTTTCAGTTTATTTGCATACCCTGCATTAGAGTGACACGCTGATAAAACACTTCTGAAAAACAACCTTGACGTAAATGTGCATCAAGGGTCCTTCTGTGTACTACTGATGTGTGCATGTGGAAGGTGATATCTCTTGGGTTCTTCTTAAGCCCCTTCTTAAGACTGGCTTTTCCCTTTCTCAGAGATGCTTTGACAATGAAGCAAATGGGTGAGTTGGAAACCCATTGGTAGGTCCCAGAGTGCCCATAGGTTCCATGTTGGGAATCACTGATCTAAGTCATTTTGAAGGAACCCCCAAACAAGACAGTTTGATATGAACACCTGAACACAGGAAGCTGCCTAATACTGAATCAGACCCTTGGTCCATCAAGGTCAGCATTGTCTACTCAGACTGACAGCAGATCTCCAGCGTCTCAGGTAGAGGTCATTCACATCACCTACTGCCTGGTCCTTTAAACCGAAGGTGCCAGGGATTGAACCCGGGACCTTCTGCATACAAAACAGATACTCTGCCACTAAGCCACAGCCCCTCCCCATAGGTCTTTCCACTCAGGTGGATTCTATACATACATTCCTTTCTATGAGGTGTGGGTGTTAATCACATCTAACCAGCTCTGATTCTTGAAATCATCCTCATCTGAATTTCCCCCCATATCTGGGAATTCCAAATCACCAGGTCTTCTTTCCCAAAAGGGATGGATGCATTAGGAATCCTCCACTGATCTGTATTTTTATTTTCCAGTTTTGTACAGAGCACCACGTATGAGCTATCTGATTGCCGTTTTTCAGTTTATTTGCATACCCTGCATTAGAGTGACACGCCTGGGCAAGCAGGGCGCCTGGGCAAGCCAAGAGAAGGCAATGGGGGTGTGGCCTAATATGCTAATGGGTTTCTGCTGTTGGGTGTGGCCTATTATGCTAATGAGTTCCTGCTGGGCTTTATCTACAAAAAAAGCCCTGAGGGTTGCTATGTAGAGGCTGGCTACGGCAAACCACTTTTGTTCATCTCTTGCCTTGGAAATCCTACGGGCTGTGACTTGACAGCACTTTCCATGCAATGTTTGGGTGGGGTGTTTTACTGATGCACAAGAGAGCGTGCATACACCAGTAAAACCCTCATATTTGCTATCACATCAAGATCATTAACGTAACTGATGTTAACCTCGTAGTCCTCATTATGCATACTATCTTTTTTAAAACGCTGCCCTCTGGTTTTATAATCCAGTTTTATTACTCTGTTTGTTCAAGATGGGTAGCCGTGTTAGCCTGCCTGTAGCAGTAGAAATGAGAAAAGAGTCCAATAGCTCCTTAAAGACTAACAAAATATGTGGCAGGATAGGAACTTTCGTGAGTCAACTGAAGAAGGGAGCAGTGGCTCATGAAAGCTCATCCCCTGCCATATATTTTGTTAGTCTTTAAGGTACTACTGGACTTTTGCTCTTTTCTACTACTCTGTTTACTGTATGTAACATTTCACTGCATTGTTCTCCAAACACCATCAAGCTGTTTACTGTCTGTGTTGTTGCTGGAGACCAAGCCCTGTGAGGAAAGGCTGAGGGACTTGGGAACGTTCAGTCTGGAGAAGAGGAGGTTGAGGGGGGACAGGATGGCTCTCTTGAAGCATTTGAAGGGCTGTCACTTAGAGGAGGGCAGGGAGCTGTTCATGTTGGCAGCAGAGGAGGTGACTCACAAAGATGGGTTTAAATGAAGGGCGGGAAGGTACCGGCTGGATATCTGGGAAAACCTTTTGACAGTGAGAGTTGTTCAACAGTGGAATCAGTTGCCTAGAGAGGTGGTGAACTCCCCCTCACTGGCAGTCTTTAAGCAGCAGCCGGACAAACACTTGTCAAGGATGCTCTAGGCCAGTGGTGGCGAATCTATGGCACGGGTGCCAGAGGTGGCACTCAGAGCCCTCTCTGTGGGCACACGTGCCATCGCCCCAGCCAGGCCCAGGCCATCATGAAAGTGTTGAATTCTCTGCCAAATAATTTTAAGTAAATGAAAGCAATTGGGATGGCTTTCCTTACTTTGTTTGGATCATCTTAAGTTAATGTATGAGTTGTTTTTTCTTAAGTATAAACTCAGTATTCAGGTTAAATTGCCGTGTTGGCACTTTGCGATAAATAAGTGGGTTTTGAGTCGCAGTTTGGGCACTCGGCCTCTAAAGGTTCGGCATCACTGCTCTAGGCTGATCCTGCATTGAGCAGAGGTTGAACTAGATGGCCTGTCTGGCCCCTTCCAACTCTGTGATTCCATGATTCTCTGTGGCATACTGCCCTCACTGCATTGTTTTTAGTTTGCTGTGATCCACCTTGAGTCTCTGTGAGAAAGGTGGACTATCAATGAAGTGAATAAATACATAAAATAAATAAGACTGGCAGTTGTAATCAATGGGTTGGATCCATAAGAAATTTTCCACACATGCAAGACACTTCTATCGATGGGGCAGAATGTTCATGTCTCCCCCTTCCCAGTAGGGCTCACTGATCTCCCCAAAATGCCGCTCCTGGGGGACGGAAGACCCTCAAGGACAGCTTGAGGAGCAAAACGGGGGTCTGCATCAGGAAGAGGGAATCGGTGGATATTATTCCACACCTTCTGTCAGTGAAAAACCTAAGTTATCTGTCTCCCCCACACACTGAACCTACAGAAGGGGGGCATTTTTGAACTTGGAAATGGCTTGGGTTGGGGAGAGACCACCCCTTACCACATCTCCCTCCCCAAGGCTGCTTTCTAGGGCAAAAAGAAGGTCAGGACATCGAGTCACAAGACTCCACTGTTACAGGTTGTTTGGATCTGTGCTCTAGATGAAACTGCTTTGGGGAAGAAACGTTCTCCTTATTTAGAATCATATAGAATCACAAAGTTGGAAGGGGCCATACGGACCATCTAGTCCAACCCCCTGCTCAATGTAGGATCCACCTAGAGCATCCCTGACAAGTCTTTGAAAGATATTCATTTACTTCATTTAAACCCCACCTTTCCCCCCAATGGGAACTCAAAGTGGCTTACGTCATTTTCCTCTCCTCCATTTTATGTTCACAACAACCTGCGAGGTAGGTTAGGGTGAGAGTCTGTGAGTGCCCCAAGGTCATCCGGTGAGCTTCCAAGGCACAAGCGAAGATTTGAACCTGGGTCTCCCAGACGCTAGTCCGACATGCTGACTGCTACACCACACTGGCACTTGGGGTTTGAAAACATCAGAGCAAATGCACCACCCAATCTGATGGGGAAAAACAGAATTGTGAATTAGTCAGCCTTCCATTCTGTCTCTCCGAAGCAGAGGTGCCTCTCCTCTATTGACCGTTCCCACTTGAACCCTCATTTCCTCATTCATTGTGAGCCAATTTAATGGTTATCAGCTTGGATCTTAATTAAGCTTAACCAGCATCCACTTCTAACCTTGGGGTCTAAAAGGGAAACCTCTTCTGCTTGTGCTTTTGTTGAGGGTCCAGGGGAAGAAAGAAAAGAAAGAGGTTGTGCAAAGGAGCTGTAATTTTCCTCAGAAGGAAAGGCTGAGCATGGAGGCTGGTTTTTAGAGAGGAGAAAACACCATTCATGATGAAACTGTGTGTCAGGTTTGGGAACGGGAGGAATAAACTTCGTCTGATTGTTAAAATCAAACTACCGTAATGACTTTTCGAGACATTTGTACAAGAGTTCCAACCGCATTTGGACTGAAGTGGAAAATTCTGAGGTAGACAGGGATGTTCTTGCTTGGGTCAAGTAAGTCACCGGTGAAAATTTTGAGGGAAATGGAGACGATGTCAGTACCCTTTGGAGGTCTTCAGCATACTGTGCGTGACCAAATCAAACATTCACTGAATTGCTTGGTATTATTTCATTTCAATATAGCGGCTGTAAGCACATGGAGGGAAGAGTCGCCTATCACGGTTAAGAGCAGTCCTCATTTTAAAAATTTTCTGACTGCATTACAATCTGCTGATAGCTACCCTGAGCTCTCAAGAAGAAAGGCAAAATGTGAAGGGTTTTTTTAAAAATCAAACAGATCTATTAATAAATGTATACACTGTTTTTTCCAACAGGTGTTCAATTTGCTTACAACAGATTTTATTTTAAAAACAAATCAAACACAGAATCTAACATCTCCCCCCCACCACCACCTCCCTTGCGCTCTCTCTCTGTACAGATAGATGAACAAGTAATTATTGAAAGGGATGTACAATTGCATACTTTTTAATTTGTCCTTCTCCAGTATCCAGAGAGAAAAACGGGTGCAGACAGAATTAAATAAATACATATAACCCCCTTTTGACATGTCCAGGGGTCTGGTCTCTGGTTTACTCATTTTCAGGAGTAGTAGACGTCACAACCACAGTCCAGCACTTGGCTCAACACACTGCAAGGGGTAGCGGTGAGCAGAGAATAGATGTGGCCACTAGAACAATCGGGCCTAAGTGGTCGGAGCTAGGGAATGAAGATTCATATCCCCCATCCTGCCAATGATGCTCACTTGTAAAGTTGCCAGCCATCTGCCAGCAATCCCTGGGAGCTTTTCAGGGGTGGGGCATGATAACATACCCAGAAGCGATGTTGCAGTGTCACTCTAGGAATTTTCCAAATCTCTATGGTAAAAACCATGCTGATCTGGGAAATTCCTAGATTGATGCCACAGTGATGCTTCTGGATAGGTAACTGGAAGTGGAGAGGCGTGGCTGCTTTGTTCTCTGTGGTGACCTTGAGCCCCCCCCCATCTAATTTACCTCACAGCATAGGCGTAAAGTTCATGGGGGCAGCACCCTTGCCTCACAGAGTTGCTGTGAGAATAAAATAAGGACTGGAGAACTACAAGAGTAGCTCTGAGTTCCTTGGAAAAAGGGTGAGATAAAAAGGACAGGCAGATAGATAGACAGACAAATGGATGGATGAGGCTGTGGAGCTCATCCTGGGAAATGAGAGGAAAGGGGGTGAGCTAAGTCCCTCCCCCCTTTCCTTGCCTCAGGCCCAAGCAAGCCAGAAGAAGGTTTTCACACCCTGCTTGACTCCTGAGTAGGGTTGCCAAGTCCATCTTCCACCCCCAGCAGGGGACTTTGGGGGCGTTCCTGTAGGGAGTGGGGCATCCCCAACGTGATGTCGTCACGTTGGGGACATCTGCCGCCCCCCCCTCGCCCGTGCGTCAGATCTCCAGAAACGCAGGTTCCCTGCACTTAAAATAGCCGGCAGCCGGCATTTCCCCTTTAAGAGCAGCTGCGTTTCCCTTTTAAGAATGAAGCTGGCTTTTCCCTGCAAGCTTGCGGAGTTCGCACTTGGGATGAAACACGGGTTGCACACGCTTAAAGGGAGATAGATGGGTGGCTGTGGGTGTTGGGGGTAGGGCTTCCCCCGCCGGCGGTGGGTAGACCCCCCCAAAATGGGGGACCCCTGGCAAACCGGGGAGGTTGGCAACCCTACTCCTGACTCCAAACCCAGGCCAACACTAGTCATGATGATGGTGTCCCAGGATGCACACCACAGTTGAGGCTCGTGCGGGCCCTAACTAATACCCTACCTATCAGAGTAGAATAGGTAC